GGAAAAGCAGATCTGAATGAACTTCTTTCCCTCAGGAAACAACATGATGACCTTACTTGAATAGGGTACGCATGCAAGGAGAACAATTTTGAATCCTCAACTGGGACATCAAATTCAAAACATACTGGCCTTGGTTTTGGGGACAAACCTGGAATTTGAGGTATGAACCTGTATGGGAAACCTTCCAGAAACGTATTTGACAGGTTTGTCAAAAGCACTGTATGTAAATCTCTCTCTCCAAACTCTCCTTTGAAGGTTCATTCACCTATGCAGAAACATGTCAGTAAAAGTCATCGTAACTTTGTTCCTATTTGTCATTACTGTTGTGTAACTGGTCACATAAGACCCAAATGTTATAAAATGCGGCATGATCTTTGTACATGTAATGTTAGAATTTGGAATCAGTCTGGCATTCCCATGAATGTTCATGCTAGAACCGTCCCAAATAACCGTGCCAAAACTCATCAAGTGTGGGTTAGTAAGAAATCCTTCAAGCGTTTTGCCTCTGTTCTGTCTCTCAGGACTTCTCTGAAAGGTAAATGGTATCTGGACAGTGGTTGCTCTAGACACATGACTGGGGAACCTTTCTACTTAATGAATATTCAGCCAGGTTCAAGTGGAAAAGTCACGTTTGGTGACGGTGTTAGCAAGAAGGTCATTGGAACAGGTTGTTTAAATTTGGGTGGGTTACCTAAATTAACTGGTGTATTAATTGTTGATGAACTAAAGGAAAATCTCTTGAGTGTAAGTCAATTCTGTGATAAAGGCCTTAGTGTCAGTTTCTCATGTGATAAGTGCTATGTGAAAAACAGTGAAGGTTCTCGTGTACTTACAGGCTCTCGTTCAACTAATAACTGTTATCTTGTTGATATTAATGAAAAATGCCTTTTCTCAAATGTGAGCGAACCTGAAATCTGGCATTAACAGTTGGGGCATATTGGATATTCTCACCTTGTCAAATTAACCAATGCAGGTGTTGTAAGGGGCGTTCCAAAAATTGCTATGAAGGACCAGCCAATTTACGAACCTTGTCAACTAGGTAAGCAAACTCGAACATCCCACAAGTCACTGAACCACATTACTTCTAAACAGATCCTAGAACTTCTATACATGGACCTTATGGGTCCCATTCAGGTAGAGAGCTATCAAGGTAAAATATATATTTTTGTGTGGCGTTGATGATTTCTCTCGATATACGTGGGTAGACTTCTTGCGTGAAAATTCTGACACATTCTCTGCTTTTAAGTCACTTTGTTTGAAGGTTCAAACAGAGAATGGCTTTCCCACAATAAGTATCCGAAGTGACCATGGAAAAGAATTTGAAAATTTTGAGTTTGTTGAATTTTGTGATTCTCTGGGTATTTGTCACGAGTTCTAAACTCCTAAAACTCCACAGCAAAATGGAGTTGTTGAAAGAGAGAATCGTACCTTGCAAGAAATGGCTAGAGTCATGTTAAACTCTAAGAAGATTTCTTCTAGATGGTGGGCTGAGGCAGTCAATACAGCATGCTACCTCATAAATCGAGTGTACCTTCGTCGAGGTATTGGTTTAACGTCTTATGAACTCTGGAAAGGTAAGAGTCTGAATCTCAGTCACTTACATGTCTTTGGATGTAAATGTTATATATATAAAGATCGAGAACAACTTGGGAAATTGGACACAAAATCTGATATTGGCTTCTTTCTTAAATACTCTAACAATAGTCGAGCGTATCGTGTTTACAACACAAATACCTCCACTGTGATAGAATCCATAAATGTGATTTTTTTATGAAGAAATTCCCAATGTGGGCTCATCGGTGTCATTTAATCTATGTGAAAGTGTGGAGAATGTGCAGGATACCAAAGATGGTAATCGTTTGAACGCCCAAAGGGATCTGTAGAGTCAGAAGAACCCTCAGACAGAATATTCCATTCATGTCTCACCCGGAAGTCCAGCTCAACTTAAGCGTGATCCTCCCTTGAAGGTTCAAAAAGACCACCCATCAGAACTGGTCATTGGAGACATCAACAAGAGAGTTACCAGGAACTCAAAGACTTCAGACAAAGAACTTATGTGAGTGTCTCAATTTGCCTGTTACACCTCTCTGATTGAACCCAAGAATGCAAATGAAGCCTTGAAAGATGAGTGTTGGATCTTAGAAATGCAAGAGGAACTGTAGCAGTTCTCTAAAAATGATGTCTGAGAGATAGTACCTGAACCTTCATCGGGTAATGTTATCGGAACCAAGTGGATCTTCAAAAACAAAACTGATGAGTTCGGGAATGTGACATGCAACAAGGCGAGACTAGTTGCTCAAGGATACACTCAGGCTCAAGGGATTGATTTCGATGAAACCTTTGCCCCCGTTGCTAGAATTGAGTCGGTACGTATATTTTTGTCCATTGCTTGCTTAATGAAGTTCATTATTTACCAGATGGACGTGAAGTCAGCTTTTCTGAACGGAATCTTGAACTAAGAGGCATATGTGAGGCAACTTTAAGGATTCAGAGATCCCTAAAACCCAAATCATGTCTTCAGACTCAAGAAATCTCTGTACGGACTAAAGCAAGAACCGCGAGCTTGGTATAACGTCTCACCATGTACCTTCTGGAGAAGGGATTCAAAAGAGAGGGAGTTGATCAGACATTCTTCACTCTCCGAACGGATTAAGATCTGCTAGTCGTTCAGATATATGAAGATGACATCATATTTGGTTCAACGTCCAAAAAGCTAGTCAATCACTTCGTCAAGCTGATGTCCTCTGAGTTCGAGATGAGTCTCGTCGGGAACTCTCATACTTCCTTGGTCTTCAGGTAAAACAAAGTAAGGATGGTATTTTCTTACATCAGAGTAAATATGCAAAAAACCTTGTGAAAAAGTTTGGTCTTGAAAATTCTAAAGCTCCTTAAACTCCCATGGGGACGCATGTAAAGGTATCCAAGGACGATGAAGGTACTTCTGTTGATCAAACGCCTTACAGAAGTATGATTGGTAGTGTCTTGTATCTCACTGCTAGAAGACTAATCGCGAAGCTATGACCGATGTGCCCGGCAGCTCGAATAGCATTGAAGTCTATTTTTATTGATCAATCCGAATTGTCTTCTAAGGTCTATAATCGCCTCAAAGCTAAAGAATCCAAATAGAATATTAAATGAGACAAAGAGAAGGGGGTAAAGCCTACTCAATAAAGACAATTGACTCAAAATTTTTTCTTTGAACTATTTGAAAAGTTATCTAACTTGAGTTATGAGTACGAATCTGACATCTGCTTTAGTGTTGGATTGTATTCCAGGTACCAGGCTGCCCCCAAGGAGTCAAACATGAAGGCAGTCAAACATATTATCAAATATGTTGGAGGTACATCTGAGTATGGATTATTCTACTCTGCTGAGACGAACCTACATCTTGCAGGTTATTGTGACGCTGACTGTGCTGGAAATCTTGATGATCGAAAAAGCACATCTGGTAGATGTTTTTATATAGGTCAAACTTGGTGTCCTGGTTCTGTAAGAAACAAAACTGCATCTCTCTTTCTATTGCTGGAGCCGAGTACATTGCAGCAGGAATCTGCTGGTCACAGTGGGTATGGATGAAGCAAATTTTGTCCGAGTATGGTATGAACATTCCTTCGACTCAACTTTTCTGTGACAACACTAGTGAAATAAATATTTCGAAAAATCCTGTCCAACATTCTCGTACTAAGCATATTGAGTCGAAGATGGAATCATTATGTTGGATCATGTACCTACGGATGATCATTATGCTGATATTTTTACAAAAGCTCTTGATTTGAAACGATTATTATCACTAAAAAATCTTTAGGAATGTGTGCTATATAATATCTATGCATTTGAGTCAGTCTATCTATATATCTATTTGTGTCGCATATAGGATCTCTTCTGCATTTTAGGCATTATAGTATGTAGGTTCATCCCTGGATTTTTCTTTGATCTATGTATTGTTGAAATTGTTGGTTGATGGTCTGTGAATTCTAACTGGTCAATTTGAGTGAGCTCGTCATAATGATCATTTTCACTACTGGTAAGAGCTGCACTCGTGAAAATAGCATCGGGCAACTATCACATGAGGTGTTTCTTTGATCACCTATGAAACGAGTTACCTGCTTAAAAATAATTGAGGTGTGATAGCTACAAGTAGATATTCTATTGAATGAAAGTTCTTTGGTGTAATAAGGTTGGCCATCCGGATATCTTCTCAGCATGATAAAAAATTGAAACTTTTTGCGGGGTGATTCACACCTTAAGTAATGGGCTTGACATTGGCGTATAGTTAATGTTAGTAAGTGAATTGGTGTGGAAGTTCATAGAACGGAGTAATTTCATCATTAGTATTGAGGCTGAATTGCGAACGGAAATTTCGTTTTTTGCTAAGAGAAAGTGATTAATGAACTTATATTAATTCCGTGATTTATAAAAGTTGGAGTAATAAGGGCTGAGTTGTGCTCGAAGAGAATTTATTTTCTTCACATATTGATAGTGTCGAGCTTGTTTTCAAACTGATGTAGAAAGATTTGTGATTTATCAATTAATGATTCTTTCCATATTGCATGAATTGGAAAATCTAGGGTATTGTGTGATTAGTATTTTATTTATGCATGTGCATCAGGATTTTCATTGTGACATATATTGTTTTGTTTTTGTCCTTAAATTATTTTTGGTACATGATTTGATATTATTGTCGTCTGAAAATTCATGCGGTATATATGGTAAACTTGTTGCAAAACTTGGTAACAAATCTTTTAAGTTTTGGAGGGAACAGTTATTAATATTTTGCACTAAGTGTTTGTCAAATTTTGAATTTCAAATCTGTAGAGCCGAACCGTCTTTAAACCCGCCTCGGTAACTGAAATTTTGGTTTGCTATATCAATCATACCATCTTTTGCATCTCTCTCATATCAATTTCAATCTTTTATTTTTGTTATCTCTCTCAACCGCTCAAACCTTTCCTTCTCAGAAGTATAACCATAATTCACAACCATGACTAAATCCAAGCAAGGTACAAGAAAGTCGAAGAAAAATTTTCCTCCTCCATCTCGGCGCTCAACTCGTCAAAGCCAAAGTTCCGAAACTCCACCAGATCCAAATCCCTCAACCATGGCAACCGAGGACATTCAACCTCCTATTAAATCCACAACCAGGTTTTCTCCAATTCCTAAAAAATCCTCAACAACGAAGGTTTGTCAAGCTGAAGTTGCTGAACCCAGTGAAAAAGGAGGAAAAGGTTCTCCCTCTGTCGTTAAATCTCCAAAGAAGTGCAAGAAGGTCCCTGCAAAAAAGCAAAAAGGCGAAAAATGTCGTTCATGTGCCTGAACCTGCTGCTGGTACTCCTTCTCTCACGAAATCTGTAGGAGAGTCGTCTCCGAATTCTGATGCCGATTTTGTTGAAAAGGAGATTGCCAACTATGTTGCTGAACCTGAGAAATCATACAGCAAACATGCTGCGGACGAGGAACTCTCTCCTCCCGAGAAAGGAAAAGACGTTGATGAGGTCGAGGGTGATGGTCTAGACAGCCCTCTTACTGTTGGTAATGCTTTCTCCCGTCAGTTTTATTCTCCTTTCGCTGAAACTCGTTTTTCTACCATCTTTTCTCAAATGAAGTTCTGTCCTGAGCGGACGATTGTTAGCGAACATTATGAACAACTTGGGTTGCTTGAACTTCTGAAGAAAGTGGGTCTTGAGGATTCAGTCACGTCTGTTGGGAAGTATTGTCCCCTGCTTGTTGGTGAATTTTATTCGAACCTGACTACCTCTGTATCTTATTCTTCCTCAATGAAGTTTCAGAAGGTGTTCGTGCGTAATGGTGTGATTGATTTCTCTCCGTCTGTGGTGAATTCTATACTTGGTTTAGCTGAAGGTTCCTCTCTTGGACCTCTGACTGATGATCTTGATGAAGTTGATCTCACCCTGATCGGTGGACAACTAACCATATGTCTTGCTCCAGGAATCTTTGTGAAAAGTCTAACTCCGCCTACCAATGCTCTACAGAAGATAGGAGCGTCGAACTGGACGCCCACCACTCACAAGCAGTTTGTTACCCCTACGCAAGATCGTGTTATCTACCGTGTTCTGAATGGTATCCCGTTTGAAACTTTGATGTTGGTTCTGTGATCTTTGATGCTGTTGTGGGTTTTGCAAAAATCTCTAAGCCTAATAAGTCGTTGCTATATCCATCTACCATATGTGCAATCTCTTCAAGGCTGGTGTAAAAATGAATCCTCTTGATGGTGTTAAGACTACTCCTCCTCGTCCTTCCCTTGTTAAGGCCTCCGATGTACCATCACAACTTCGCGGTTTTTTGAATCAGCAAGTGGCAGTTCTCTCGGGACTTGAAAGGAAGTTAGGTGATCAGCGAAGGTACTACAAAGAGGTTCTGGGTGCCCTGAGGTCGCGTGCCCCTTTGGTTTCTAAATCGAAAAAGGGGGAGAAAAAGAAGGATGTTGTTGTTGTTGTTGCAAAAAAGAAAGCTCTTGCTAAGGGGTAGAAGAAAACATCGCCGCTGAAGGAAAGAAGAAAAAGGTGATTGTTGTTGCTTCTACTGGAAAAGGGAAAGAAAAAGATATTGCTGCCAAGGAAAAGGGAAAGGAGAATGTCGTGGAAGAAGATGAAGGTTCTGATGGAGAAGAGGATGAAGAAGTTGGGTCTGATGCGGAGGATGAGAAAGAGGAAGCAGGCTCAGAGGAAGAGACTTAGGATGGTACTGAAGAAGGTTCAGGGGAGGAATCTGACGACAAATAATCCGCATAGCCATCCCTTAGCTGGATATTCATTTGTGTTGAAAACTTAAGAACTTTTTATTATGTTTGCTGAACTCTTTTCCTTTTGTTTGTTTTCTTCTTCATGCATGTGATGAACTCCTTGTGTTATTAGTATCCTGTGATTTGGTTCCTTTATTCAGGTATTCGAGTTGTTCTTATGAACAACACTTATGTGATGTGATAAGTATTTGTGTGGTTGATAAATCTAGTACATAATCTGTAATTCATCATGCAGGTTAAAGGAAATGGTTTTCAATTTATCTGCCAAAGGGGGAGATTGTACGTTCTGGTTATTGGCAGTAAATCGATGAACCTTCTGATGGTCACAGAGTTCAGTAATATGCGGGAGTATTTAAGGGAAGTTTATTTTTGGTATAAATAAGACCTGGTTTCATTTAAGTCATATTGACTAATTATTTGTATTATCATCTTGGCAGGTTGATAAGATTGAGGGCAAGATTCTCTTTCCATAATCAAAGATGAAGAAGATCGCGGGATTCACCTTCCTTATGCATGTATGTCTTGGGCGCAAAGATTTACCAAATGATGCTGAAGATAAAAGGAGGACGAGACCAGAGTTGAGGACAACTTTTTTTTTTAGTGATTTCATTTTGAGTTTCATGTTTTTCTTTCCTTGAGTATAAAAGAAAAAAGAGAGAGATATTCAGAACCCATTTTTTGTGTAACAGAATGTTCGGAGGTTCATTTTGATATAGTTTGATGGATTCGAACTAGAAAATCCACAAGGGAGTTGTGGTCAGATAAGTAGTTGTATGGAGCATTATTCAAGTAGAGTGTAGAGAGAGTCTATACTGAAAACACTTGAATGATGTCTGAGTTGTTCACATTAATGAAAGAGATCTAAAGGGAGAGTGGGACGCTCTCCTGAAGGTTGAATTCTTAGTGAAAACTGCTTCCGCAATTGTTTGAATCTTCGTTACTGTCTGTTTGTTCTATTTTACGTGCAACTCTGGATACTTGGTGTCCAAGTATCAAACTTCAGGTAAGATGGCTAAGAGGCCGTTTACGGCAGAGGGGTATAGGATCCAAGAAGTGCTAGGATTAATTCATTCTGATTTGTATGGTCCTATGTCGATCCAGGCTAGAGGAGGTTTTGAGTACTTTGTCACTTTTATTGATGATTACTCGAGATATGGGTACATTTATCGGTTGCACCGCAAGTCCGAATCACTACAAGAAATCTGCCAAAAAGTGACGAAATTCATGTGACGAAAAAAATATCGTCACCATATGTTGCCTTATGGTGACAAATTTAAAAAATCGTCATTACATCATTGCATACGACGACGACTACAACATTCGTCATCTTAGAATTTGTTTTTCGTCACATAATGGTATTTTTCATGACAATGCACCTCAGTTCGTCACATATACATATAAATTTATCACATGTATATAATGGTATTTTTCATGACTATGCACCTCAGTTCGTCACATATACATATAAATTTATCACATGTATATAAGATGTGACGAAATTAAATGTGACAAACAAAATGTCGTCACCGTTGTTGTCATTTAAAATGACGCTTACGACTAATTCATCATTATATACGTTATTATTGTGACGATACATTATAATACATCTAAATTCGTCACACTAATAGATATTATGATGAAATTAATGCGATGAAATAAATATCGTCGTTCTTTTATTTATTTAAAATGACGCTTACAAAAGATTCGTCATTATATAATTTTGTTTTGTGACGATAAGTTGTAATTCATCTAAATTGGTCACATTAATACATATTATGACAAAATTCACTATGACGAAAACAAATTCGTTTTTTTTTTTTTTGTATTTAAAATGATGCTTACAAAAAATCATCATTATATAATTTTGTTTAGTGACGGTAATTTATAATAAATACATCTAAACTCGTCACATTAGTAAATATTATGACGAAAGTCACTTTGACGAATCAAATCGTTGTGTTTTTAATGTATTTAAAATGACACTTACGTATAATTCGTCATTATATAGCTTTCTTTTGTGACGATACATTATAATGCATTTAAATTCATCACATTAATACATATTGTGACAAAAGTCACTGTGGGGGAAAAAATCGTTGCTCTTTTTGTGTATTTAAAATGATGCTCACGTATAATTCGTCATTATATAACTTTGCTTTGTGACAATACATAATAATACATCTAAATTCTCCACATTAATACATATTATGAGGAAAGTCACTATAACGTAAATAAGTCGTTTTGTTTTTATTGTATTTAATATGGCGCTTACGAAAAAATTGTCAAAATATAGTTTGTTTTGTGATGATAAATTATAATATTTCTAAATTAATTCATCACATTAATACATATTATGATAAAATTCTTTTCGACAAAATAAAAAAAAATGTTGTAATGGGAGGGTTTCTCAGTAGACTAGTCTTAGAGGAGTTAAGCGGTGAAGTTGATAGTTCCCCACCGGGTGCGCAAGTAGATACATCACATAATACTGCAACACGGCACACTGAGAGTGTACCAGTGCAGACAGTACCTCGTCATAATGGGAGGGTTTCTCAGTTACCCGACCGATGGATAGGTCTTGGAGAGTCTAAGGGCTCAGTTTCAGGAAACCGAGAATTGGACCCAAGGACTTACAACAAGGCACTCCAAGATAAAAATGCAGATTCATGGAATGTTGCAATGGATGCTGAAATAGGGTCAATAGACTCTAATCAGGTCTAGGATCTTGTAGAACCACCCGATGGGGTACGACCCATTGGATGTAAGTGGATCTACAAGAGAAATAGAGGATCAGATAGAGAGGTGCAAACCTTCAAAGCTAGGCTTGTTGCAAAAGGTTATACCCAGATTGAAGGTATAGACTATGATGAGACCTTTTCGCCAGTAGCTATGCTTAAGTCCATTCGGATTCTCTTGGCTGTAGCCGCTCATATGGATTATGAGGTTGATGGATGTCAAGACGGCTTTCCTTAATGGAAACCTTCTGGAGGACATCTATATGCAGCAACCAGAGGGATTCATTGAAAAGGTCGTGAGCATCTAGTGTGTAAGCTTAATCGATCCATTTATGGATGGAAGCAAGCTTCCAGGTCTTGGAACATTCGTTTCGATGAGGTGATCCAGTCGTACGGGTTCACTCAATGTCCGGATGAGCATTGCGTGTACAAGAAAGTTAGTGGGAGCGTGGTGGTGTTTCTTGTGTTGTACGTGGATGACATACTTCTTATTGAAAACAATAAG